GAAATTTATTAGAAGACACAATCATTTTAAAACTTATATTTGTTTCTGAGTTCTAGTTTATAAGTACCCAAATAATATACATTTGTACCATTCCTTTATAATCATGATACTCCTATATAAATAAGCAAATTTATCATTATTGAGAGTTTTATGTAATAAAATGACTATACAAAATACTAAACTAGCAAGTACATAATCAAAATAAAATAACTCATCCAATTTTATGAAATCTATCAAATGCAATCATTACTGTTCTTAAAAGAGATAAAACTAGCTTTTGGGTTTTTTTTAAGTAATTTAAAATTTTAAGTGATCTGATGTTCTATGAACATAGTAACGAAACTTTAATCTTAGCTTTATTAGTCTAACCAAATCTCTGGCAGAAAATATCCCTTCAACTATGACTAAGGCAATCAAGAAGCATATATACTAGTTAGAACAAAAAAGGAATTTTAAAAATCTGAATAATCCAAGAGACTAACATTTGAAAGAAATATCTGATAAATATGAATTCTTGCTGATGTTCCTAGTAACTTATGATACAATCAAATTTAGTTTTGGGGAAAGCACTCAGAAGTCAGATGTTTAAAATGTGAAATAAATAAAAACCTTAACAACACTGTTAAAGGACCAAACAAACATCCTCATCTTGTGACCAAAATGGTTCAATAGCTATGTAATTTGCCATATACTCAAATAAGGAGAAAACAGCAAGTACTTAATAGTGCAAACATAGCTATAAAATGAAATAGCTTTATAGATCATTTCCTAACCTCATTGTTTCTGAGTAATGGCCACAGTACAAAATAAAATTAAAGATGTTATTTAAAAAGAATGATGGATTCTACCACTCATAGTTTTAGGAAACCTTTTTTCTCTCTCCCATCTCCTGTATAAGTAATAAAATGTGTCACACTGAGTTTACACAGTTAAGATAAAATTTAACATCTGAAAGTTTGGTCTCATTTGTAATTTGATAGCTTGATAGAGACTTAAGGACAAGAAAGACCCAGCTATCTCTAAAATCTATCTTTTGAAAATCAAGTAAGTTCAAGGAGAGTAATCGCTTTTACATAGATGTATCAACTAATTTCGAATCTGTGGTTCCTATATCCTTAATTGATACACAGAAAAAAATTCACCCACTATTCTCGGTGACATAAAAGCAATCTTCCTTTATAAATCTTTAAAACATCTTCATCAAATACATATTTTTAGTGAACAATTTGTTCTAGGAAAAAAACATAATATGAAAAGCTCTATATTAATTCAGCAAAGAATAAACAGTCATTAATTATGTGGAATAATCATTACTTTATCAAGTATTTACTGAGTACTGAATGGGCCAGCAACTAGAAACAAAATCAAGTAAGATATTACTAAATGGGCCCCTAACTGCCTCCAACAAAGAAGTCCATCCCTTCTGAGAAAAACACCTACGAAGACCTCACTATTTCATGACAGTTTCAATTTGGCCTTCAGCATTTAATTGTACTAAATAACAGACAGGAAAATATTTTTAACTGGAAACTTCCTAGGTAATTTTATTAAATTTAAAAAGTAGATAGCAAAAAGGAAGCACTATTTAAAAAATATCAGTAAGATACTGTTAACCATCTTTCTTTCTCTTTAAGACATTGATAATTCATATTTCCCATGCCTAGTGGAAATTTTTCAGCCTAATCATTTTAGAGAATATGTTTTAACAAATTCACATTTTTCGTTGCCCATATTCTAGAAATACTTACATACAAACAATGCACATTTTCTAAAAGGTAAAGAATAAGCATTTACTGTTACTGGAACATATTTACCAACTGAAACCATTATTTCAGAGCCCAAAAATATGTAATCCTTTGTAGCACTAAATAATACCACTGCCCTATTATTTTATACAGAAAATAATTTACCATCACTTAGCAATTATTCACGAAGTCCCTAATGGAGTATGGCTCTGATCATGTACAATAGAGCGAAAAACTGAGACACAGAAATGCTAAATAACTTGCCAAAGACCTTGAGAAAAACTTAGAGGCAAACAGAAAAAAACAGTTGGAACATACTATTACAGTTAACTGATAAATTGAATGAAATTTTCCAATGATACTAAAAAATCATACATGTAAATTCATATATACACATATACAAATAACTGAAAAAGTAAGGAAAATAATTAAGAAGGAATTTTTGTATATAGCCTGAATTACATAGAGAAGTGTGGTTTCAAAATCAAAGCTGTTAAACAGCAGGTTCTAGTGAATCATGTACCTTTAGTTCAAAGGAACTTGAGAAAATAAATACAGTATATTCAATAAAAGATTATTAATTATATGACCCAAGTTTAATTTTATGAGAACCTAATTGACATACTTAATGAGTGTAATGTACCTCTGAGCAAGCACTGAAATATATCTTTCAGTAAAATAAAGTCTAATTTAAAGTCTTAAAGCCAAAAAAAAGAAGAAGCATGTACACATAATATTTAAGATGCAACTTAATCATAAAATTGTAGAATTTTGGGGGGGATTTGCAAACAGTAATTCTGCCAATTACAAAATAAAAGAGATGTTAGGGGAAATGGCAGATAATAGCTTGTAAGATTACCTTAGGGCATATGAAATTCTACATAAAATAAAATTCTTCTTTAATCCAAGAGAAATAGTGCTTCAACAGAATGTGTGTGTGTGTATATTTATATATGTACCTTTTTTTACAGAACAATCACATTATAACTGTAAAACATTGTATGGCATTGCTTTATATCCAGCTTATTTTGTCCTCAAAAACATTCATCGTATTTATAAAACATTTAATTCTGTCTTTATTACCTCTTTAAAACCTTTGCAGAAAATCTGTGATGTTATCTTCTTAACAAGGCAAAACCAAGGAAGAAGACTTTGTATATCCATCATTTCTAGAGTAACAAAAACATCTTTACCTTCCAGAAGACTTTCACAAAATCCCAGACACTGGCATGTTATAATCAATTAAGAATGAAAATTTTATGAAAGAAACTAATTAAATGGGAAAAAAGTCTAAAATTATTGAAAAATCCAGAATCAAAGAAAGATGATCCCTTATTTTTTTAAACACAAATGAAACATAATGTTAGAGATGTTCTTGTTATAAAGTGGTTACTCAAATAAAAATTGTATTTATTTCCTAAGTTCTTTGTTTCAAATAAATGATCAATCAATAAATAAAAACCTGGTAAAAACATATAGTTCCCCATAGCAAAAAGGCCTGAATCAACCTACTGTCTTAAAAAAATAAATAAATGAGAGGGTTGGTATTTACATAGGTTTCAAAAATTAAGAAGAAGATAACCAATTTTCTGTGTTTTTAACTACTGCTTCAAATTGACCATGCCCCACAATGCTTCAACCCCAGGGGAATTTCCTATAGATTGAATTTTTGTTCATCACATAAGATTGTTTTTATTTTCTTATTTATATTTGTTGTTTTATGCACCTCATTATGTTATGCATATGTTTGGAATTTCTTTTTTTACATAAATCAGAAAATTACATTGCAGTCAGAATTATTCACAGGTATCTTTTGACAATGTAAATACTTCACCTTAAATTTAAATGAGTTTAACCTACAGGAGAACCCTGACGCCATTCTAACATGAACTACTTTAAAAAACACTAGCTAAATATTATAGATTTTAACTTTGTTGAGGCACCTTGTATTTCCCCACTGGAGTTTTTATTCTCTCCTTATTTCCTTCAGTGATTGAAAGGTTATCTCGCCGCGACCCTCCTTACCCCAGAATGGCTCAGGAGACATGGGCACACGCAAGAGATTATCTGAAAGAGAAAATGGCTGCCCCCAGAGAGAGGGAGCAGCCCTGGGGTGCAGAGCATTGTGCCTTTTATAGTGGCGGAGTGGAAAAGTACCGCTTGGCCTGTTGCCTTGGGGGCGGGTCGGAATGTTTAGAGATAAGGTAAAACAAGTCCAGGGAAGTCCAGGCATGATTTTCACTGGCCTATGTGCTTCGGACCATGGGGTAAATGGAGGATAAAGTACTATATTCTTAGAGTGATACATCTATATAAAAGCTCATGAAATTTAAACACTATGTATTTGAGGAATTAAAAGAAATAGAAATTATATTTTTAATACCAAATGAATGACATAATTTTAGAGGCAAATATTTAGAATCATTTAACAGTACTAACCATTTAATTTCTGTTCCTTCAGTTAATTTGGTAGGGCTTTAGCAGAAGATAACTTTTAAAAAGAAATCAAAGGGTTTCCTTAACATACTAAAAGATTCTTTGTATCACTGTCGTTTTAAAGAGTGATACCTCTTTTAAATAAAGTTTCCTTTTGTTCACCCACCCATTAATCCAAAGGAATAGCCATTGTGCAACATGATCTGAGATTCCAGATTAGCATTATGTCTGATTAAAAAAAAAAGTACCAAAACCAAACAAAGAAACAACAAAACAAAAAACAACAACAAAAAATCTATCTAGGCCATCTTTTCACCTTTCTTTCTTTCATAAGAGAGAAGCATTTAACACATTTTTTTGATAAATGGTAAGGTAGTGCTAATGAAGCTCTTGTCTTACTATTTTCATCATATTGCTTATCATTATTGCTAATGAATTTCAACTTTTATAATATACTAACAGAATTTAGTAATTTTAATCTGTGAAATAAAAAAATCCCATAATAATCTTGGTACAAGATGTTTTATCACATTATTTTTCCAGCCTCTACATACAGAGCATTGTCAACTTATCTTGTCAAGAGAAAATGAAGTCTGCTGTGTTCAAAATCTAGATTATCCCTCTTAATTGCATCTAAATCCAAAGAATAACCATGTGTGGCAAGTTAGTAAGTGGATGAAATCTGTTTCTGAAGTAGTGTTTCCACTAAGATTTTAAAGTCCTATACTGTGATTCCCCGCCCCCCATTATATCTGTGATGAGAAAATGAAGAAGATGGAATTTAATCCCCTAAAAACAAGGTATCAGCACCCAGTTTACCTGACGAGATTTTCATTGTCTCCAGTTCCCTTGCAAGTTGCACATTCAGTTCGTAAATCTTCAGCCTTCGGCTTCTTTTGTAACACAGACTGCCTTTGTCTTCTTTCTCTAGGAACTCTTTCCTTCCAAAAAGAGAACAAAACAGAACAAAATCAGGATATGAAGAAGACAAAATTAATTTAAATGAGAAAAGTTTCTCAAAATTTAGACTGTGTAAAAAATGCTTAACTTATTCCAACCTCATGTTTTTCTTCCTCAGGAATGAAGCTTCGTTTTCGTCCTCTGGTTCTCTAGGGGAAAAAAAGCCACACAAAAATATCTAATGTTTAATTAATAATAAAAATACATTTTCTCTATTAAAATTACTGCTTAAGTTTAACACTTGGAAAATTATTATTTCTAAGTAATGCTTCATTGCTCTATTGCACTGTTACAATTTGTCACAAGAAATAAAAACATGACAAATTAAATACATTTTACAGAGCTTTACTAAATAACACAAGTATTTGATTGGAAAAATAAGTTCTCCAAAATTAGTTTAAAGAATTGTTTCAATATTTCATACATCATATAATTATGATTTACACAGAGCATTAAATTTTCACAACTTATAATATTTCTACAGCTGAAATGCTAAACCTGGACTCATACTACATCTGTTGTGTATGCCTGTGTGTGTGTATGTTTGTGTAACATCAGGAAACAATCAATTTTTAACAGCTGCAAAAAAAGTGGGGGGAAGAGATCTCAGATGTCCCCAGATCCTAATTAAAGTACTAAAATAGGATATGACTTATTTCAGACATAAATTTGCATGCTGTATTTCAAAATACATTTACCAGTATAAAGACAGCATCTAAACATTTAAAAGTAATACAAATGTAGTAAAATTTTATAGCCAACATGTTAAAAATTCCACAAATGTAGCACAACCTCTGTACATTTATAATTCCCATGGGCAGACAACTGCTCATTAGAGAGACTGGAAGAGAAAGTAGGCACAACTCAGTGTTCCTAAATTACTGTCATTTCAGTTTTTCATAATACTGTATCATGTTATTTAATAGCACGGCTAATTGCACACTGTTTAATCTGTCCCTAGATAACAAAGAATTGACCAAATTAGTCATTCAAAAGATGTAAATTTATACTGAATTAGAATCTACCTTTAAACAGTATCCCCAGCTAAGCACACACATATTAAAGTTTCAGAACATCAGTGTAATACTGACAACCCTATCCAAGTTCTAGCAAAAACCTTATCACTAGCTCTTTATCATCTTTCCCTCTTATGACATTTCTGTCCTTTATGCTTCAATTTCCGTCCTCCAACACAGTCCATCCCCAAACTGGTAAGGATCACATCATACTGATCTTTTGACACCAAATTAAACTTAATGCAATACATATTTTATAAAAGCTCAAAAAACTTGTTTTAATAAAGTAAATAAGTTGTTAGATTCAAAGTCATAAATGATTACACTAGGTAATACAACTGATAAAAGCTGATATAAAAGATTAATTATTATTCCTTTACTAGTTTCAATTTGCATAATTTAGTGCATATAGGGCATTTTATTAATTATCAGAATAACCAATATCAAAGGGAAAATATTCAAATTATTCATTTGAGTTCTGTAAACATCTAAGAATGCTCAAAAGGCCTTAAAAAATGTCCATGTTTTTCCCCATTCAACCCATCTTTTAAGTAATGAAGCAGGAAATGAATCATCTAGTTTTTGAATCACTAATCATTCAACTAATTTTTGAAGTATGTATAAATACTACAAGTTAATGTTTTCAATTCTTTTGAAGATATATAATTATTTTGAAGATATACAATTAATATTTTAAATTTTCAAACATTTGGGATGATTTCCTTCAACTTTTAAGTTTTTCATACCCATATTACAGTAGTATTATAAAGCATAATACTGATTAGTAATATATACAATAGCATAGTTACATTTCTCTTATAAATTCCTTCTTATGTAACTATATATATATATTTTATTAAAGTACTATTTTTTTAATGAATAACTATATTTATAATTGTCTGTAGCAATCTTCAATTAAGTACATTTATTACCTAATGGTATACTCCTGTAATTTTAAGTAACTACACATAAGCAACATAAACAATTTGCAGCCAGAAAAAGAGACTTGCTACAGGCAATATGAAATTATATCATCTTAGAGCTCTTGATCACACAGCTGATGACTGACAGAGGTCAACCTCAAACCCAGGTATCTCAACCCAATTTAATTTTTCTTGCATGCCAAATTCAAGATTAATAATTTAATCCCAAGTAAAGATGATCAAACTTATCATGATTTTTTCTTCTCACTTGAATAGTTAAACATAGCATTGTGCTGCCTAAATGAAGAATTCTTACATTTCAAAACAAGTAAATCAGAGAATTACACCCAACAAAGAGACCTCAATTCCTTATATTGACACTGTCTTCTACCTAATTTGGTATCCTATACAGTACAATGACTAACATGATCCAGCGCCAAAGTAAATGGTAGCAAACTTCTTCAGAATTTATCAATGCACTAATATTTCCAAAGGAAAAAAATGTAAGATGATTTAATCCAAACACAACTCTTTACAATACCAAGTCCTCCAACCAAGAAAGTGCTGAGAGCTGTGGGATCTTTCCTAGTTTTAATGAAGTGACAGCAACTGTTAACCATGACAATTCAACTGCCTATGACCACAACAGACAAAATACCATAAATATGAAGTCCCTGAATGAATCAGAAGATGGAAGTGGAGTTAAAAGGAGGAGAGATGAAAAAAAGCAAAAAGAAAGTAAAACCAAAACATGTTTGGCTCATCCAACAAATTTCAACTATCAAAGAGCTTGCTTGATCTTAGATGTATAGAGAAATACAGGCATACCTCAGAGAGATTGTGGGTTCAGTTCCAGACCACCGCAATAAAGCAAATAAAGTGATTCAAATGAATTTTTTGGTTTCCCAGTTTGTATAAAAGTTACGGTTACACTATGCCATAGCCATTAAGTGTACAATAGCACCATATCAAAAAAAATGTACATAGCTTAATTAAAAAATACTTTCTTGCTAAAACATGCTAACCATTATTGAATCTTTAAGCAAGTCATTCTCACTGATCACGGATCACTGTAACAAATGTAATAAACATTTAAAAATGGAAATATTCTGAGAATTATCATGATGTGACATAGAAACCCAAAGTGAGCAAATGCTGTTGGAAAAACAGACTTGCTTCATTCAGGATTGCCACAAATCTTCAATTTGTAACAAAACACAGTATCTGTGAAGCACAACAAAGCACAATAAAAGGGGGTATGTCTGCATTCATAACCAGGTGGTTATTTCATGACATACACTCAGACTGACATAACCTTAGAAACAAAACAAAGCACCAGGGTGAAAACAGCATGTGGAAAATGTAAGAATTTTATTTAAGGATGTGCTTTATATGCTTTAGAACTTAACATATATGTATTACCTAGAAGTTCCAAATCACCAATTGAGGATTCCAAACTGTGCTTCCCTTTGTAATTATTAAGCTACTAAAGTAAGTGAAAGTTTGAAATAGCATCTTGACACATTCCTATTTTTCTGTTCTTTTTTAAGGACCTTATTTGCTTAGGGAACAATGACAATCTGACTTGCTTAGGTCACCTGGCTTTTTATCTCTTTATGGTACATTTACTTGAAAACAGGAAATGATAAAACATCCACAAATAAAGTGGCATTGTATTAGAGACAATGTATCTAAGTTAGAAAAGAATAAAATATTTCTAGCTACTAGGCATCATTTTAATAGTATTCATCAGAAACAAATAATTAAATATTTCAATAACTTCACTCATTAGGACTAGAAAATATGTAACAAATTTTAATGAATTCTTTAGAGCTGGGATGTACAATTAAGTCAAATGCATGACGATTTTTCCAAGTTTAGAATGATATGACAAATAACCTAAAATTAAAACTAAAAGTCAGTGCCTCAACCTGTCTGATATCATAAGATGGGTTTCACATATTCATTTGTGTACTGTTTTCTCTAAATTTAACAGTTATCTTCTTGATGACAAGCCAACATTTATGTAATTAATAAATAGGCCATATGTCATCAGATGAAATATAATGAAAGATACATGGTCAGATGAAACATAAGGAATGCTTCCCTATATAATATATATATATATATAAAAAAGAAAATGCTTATTCATGAGCAAAATTCCAAATTCAATGTTAATTAGGACTATTAAGACAAACATTGAAAATCTCTGTCAAGCTAAATACCTTCAGATTTATGCTGAGGAATAAATGCAAGCAGCTGTCTGCCAGTTGTTTAAAATCCTTCAATATAAAGTTTGTATTTATATGCACACCCTAAAAAAATATTTGTTTTCCAGTTATAAAACAATATATTAAAAACAATCAGACGTTAAAGCTCATAATATATCCAAAAGAAAAATGTTACATATATAAACAAGGTGTGAGCAAAGTGCCATTTGTTGCTGCTGGCTATTGGCATACAACAGACAGAATGGTTATCACCAAAAGTAAGTGTTTTCCCTTCTTGTCAATTGACTATAGACTTATTTTTATATCTAATTTAATTTATATTAACAAGGGTAGGAAAGTAAATGGAAGAATAAAAAATAAATCATGAACAATTTTGCTTAACAGTGTAAATTAAGATAACCACAAGCCTAAAAATATAAAATATACATCTTATAAAATAAAGTGCTCCTATAAAATCCTCTTCACAGATAATGGTATATTCAAAATAAGTAAAATCCTGAAGCTCTGCCTAGACCTCATTCCTTTTATTTCATACTCCTGGGAGTAAATAAAAATACTAGATTTCCAAGAGTTATTAAAAAGCAAGGCAAAAGCCTTTGAGTTTTGATTAAGATTACTGGAGCTAAGGACAATCTCACTGGATCTCATCCAAGTGATCCAAAGTAAGTTAATGAGTATGGTTCAGTTCACCACAAAAATTTTTGACAGGATTTCTTCTAAGGCTCTATGAGAGACAACAGTTATGTAATCTGTTTAGTACCTCAGAGGTTACCTTGAGTCTGATAATACTCAATTAAAACTCTGATATCTAAAGGCCCCATATCCCTTTCCTCCCAGAACTATAATAATTTAAGTAAATAGTCCAAATAAAGATAGTAAGTAAATTATGACACAGACACAAGTAACCTTTAATCATTTCAATAGGGCTGAATCCAAATGTTTCTATTTTCCCACAACCTAGCATCAAAAAGACTATATA